AACCTAAATTACATAACGTTATTGAACATGACATAACATGACGTAACGTGACATAGCGTTTCACAAATTGACTTGACGTGAGGTAATGTAACGCATCATCATTTCTGCTTTAACGCTATACGATGCAAAAACAAGTTATTCCAAAATGGCGTCAAATCTTGTTATTCTTTCGTGCTAATGTTTTTTTTTGTGTGTGAATCATGCAAGTGTAATCGAGGTAAAGAGGGCTAATCAACATAAATATGGCGTATAAAAGAAAAGTAGTATTGCCGCCATTTTGGAAAAAGTTGTGTAGAGTGTTTTCAATCACATGACCTGCAGCTATGCAAATTTATGAGAACAAAAGGAAACTTTTTACATAAGAAAAATGGTTCAGTTCCCACAGGACTGGTTTAGAACATCAACACGGCAGCCGTTTCATTGTTTTGGGAAACCAATATGGCGGACGTGACGTCATGTAAAAAGGCTCCATAGAGAGAAAAATTTAAAAACTTCAGGGTGTCCTAACAAATAGGGCGAACTTTGAGCTTTCTCTTCAGTTTTTTAACTATTAACCAAGCTCTACCTTTAACGATTTTTACTTACTCAGGTATTTTCCGTACAACTCCACTCTACAAGATATATGCGCGTGCCAGGTAAAGGGGTAAAACCGCACATATCTAGCCTTGATCGAGGGCGTAAGGAAGTTCTTTACGACCGTGTTTCGGTCTTTATTTCCGCGGAAGATCTGGAACAAAATATTTAACTTTTAGCGGTGTAAGTTATGATAAAAACGCATCAAAAAAGAGAGCCAGTTTTCACCTCAACTGCCATTTTCCCAGAAGATACACTAGACCCTCATATACCATACCGAAAAAATAGAAACAGTTTTTCTATTTAGAGAGGATTCAAGAACCAATATAGAGGAGTCTGGGGATGTCTTTGAATAGGGTCCTGCGTATTATGAACAGAATATTGAGAATCTTACTCCTGCTCGCCCTGACTGGTAGATACGGAATCGTATTCCATTGTCGCCGTATTTCAGCGTGTAGCTCGTCACCCATTGGTTGAGATCCTGACGACCTTGAATAGCAGTGGCTACGATAATGGCGCGATAACCAAGGTTAACCTGAAAAAAAATTGTGCCTCATTATAATCTCAATACATGCAATTCGCCATTTTTACGTTGCTCATAATGCAACTTATTTACCCCTTATCTTTTGCGCAACTAATTGTTTCAAAATTTCTCCTGGGTGTTACAGTCGTCCAAAGAGAAATTGAAGACAATAATTAAGCATTTTTTCTCGGGGGAGGAGGGGGGGGAGAGTTGCAAGCAAGGTGTATTATCGGTATAAAGAGAATTTAATATCATGAATTCCAGAAAGATTACCTTTTTTACCTCTAATTTAATTTTAGATATGAAACCTTCTCGTGGTGATATTTGTTAACTGTACTTTTCACGTAAGTTTGAGGCTACCCTGTAACATTGAGTCATTCATGAATTTGCCATCACTTAACCGGCAAACTTAAAATTCATTTGTGTTATGGTTAGTTGTTTTCTTTAGGCCCAAAGAGACGGCGAAAACCCTTTGAGATTAGTCCGTCTGTTAATGGATACTTCTCACACTTTAAAGCAAGTCAAACCAGTACTTTAACAGAGACAAACTGTAACGGCTTACTGAGTGCAATACTACTACATACTCTTTATAAGCATCACGAATTATAGCTTCCTTTCATGTAGTTACCTGCAACCATTGTCCTCGAGTATTCCTTTTCGCGGACCACGCGCCTATGAATCTTCCTGACCTGCAAATATAAAGCCTTCCACGCATAGCGCCGTGATAACGGTCCCAGGAACTTGAAGCACTAAGGCCGTCATCGCCAATTCTCCTGTCACCAACCCCGAGAGGAAGCCTAGAAATAGCTAGAAAAATCAGGAAACGTCAGTGAAACCACGACCATTAACCGCTGAATAAGGCAACTGCGGTCTCAATGAAATTCTTGGTGTTTTTCTGGGACACCTTGTGACAGGGTCCGGAAGAGCCTAGCTCTAACAAAATGCTGCACGCTCCTACCCAGACAACCAGGGTCGGCTTTTGACAAATGGTTACTTTCACCAGTCTTGCAACACAATCGCACGACTCCTTATGATGGGGTTTGTATCGAACAGTTGCCAGCAAATATTGCTGGAATCCTTATAGTAATAGGTCGCGTTGCCGCAAGCCTCTGTTTCAAAGCGAGGCTAGCTGGGAAACAAATGACATGAAAGTAGTAATGGGGGTTAGAATAGGTGGTAGCCAATCAGAGCGCGAGAAAGTCAATAGAGGTATTGGGGAATAGGGGTCACGTGACCTAATTTGCATGTTTTTGACGTCATAAGGTCACGTGACCTTTCTGGCTGTCAGATAGTAGCCAATCAGAGCACAGTATTCTCTAACTAGTCCCCAAGCCCCCGGAAGTCAACCTCACAACCGGAAGTGACTTCCCAGATTCCCGGAAGTGACTGTGTGACCGGAAGTCAACAATGAACTACTCCCCAGTCTCCCAGAAGTGAGCGCGCGACCGGAAGTCAAGAAATGTGCTCTATTGCACAATGGAATAACTGGCCTTTATATTTGTGTTGGATGTTGTAGGCTTAGGCTTGTGGTATTGCTTTGGGGTGATTTTAATCAGCGCATGCGCATGGAGTAACATTGGCTAGCAGCATTGTCTTATAACCTAGGAGGGATGACTTGACCTTTATATTTGCAGTGGATGTGGTACCCTCACCCTTGTGGTACGTCTTTGTGATAATTTCCAACAACGCATGCGCATAAAGTAACATGAGAGATTGTCGCGTACAGCGCGATAGGAAGTCAAGAAAGCAACGCATAAGATTGCTTTGGACGTTACCAAGTCACGTAACTGATCCCCAACTGCTTCCCAGGTCCCTGGAAGTGACCGGAAGTCAAGAAAATAACACGTTGTATGGCCAATAAAAATCACTTTTTGATTTAATACAATTTCCATGTCGTGCTTTTGCAAATCGTCTTGCTTTGCTTGTTTAGGTTTATCAAGTTACCCAATTTCTTCTGCTGTAATCGTGAGGACTGAGTTCAGTTTGGTACTCTTGTAGAACATGATGAGCAAAGTTCAAAACCTTGGTTGGGTTGTTTGAACTTAACGAGACAAGCATTGCAGAGGAATTTTTCTTGAGTACGAGATAATCGTTGATTTTGTTCGAGATATTGCGCCTTTGTGAAATCCAGTTGACGTTGTAGGTTTTGCAGTTGTTCGTTTTGTTTTTGTATGATTTGAAGTAGATTAGCCATAGTTGTTTTATATTCTTTGCATTTGCGACATCTTCTTATAGGTAAAGGTAGTGACAAACATCTTGCAATACTTTCCATGATGCTGTTCCTCCACGTTGACTCGTCAGCAACTTTTTTGTTGTTTGCGGTGGTTATTGAACCTTCGGGACTTGACTCCACGCTTTGGTCCACAATTGATCAATTAATTCTCGAAAATGAGTTTCATCGTATTTTTGAATCACTTGGTTGATCTGACGTTTTTTTCTGGATCGAACATGATTATATACCTCTTGAAAAGGAATGTAATTCATGCTTTCGGGTGGAATGGTTTGTAAGTGATCATGAAAGACTTTTTCCAGTTGTCTCCATTGTTGTTTTCGTCGTTGTACGGCTTGTTTGATTTCTTGTACATCGGATGGAGATAATATATTGTTAAAATTGTCACGTTCAAGTTTGATCATGAAAGATTCGTGAAAATCGTCCAAATCATCCACTGACAATAGCATTTGTTCAAGAAGATTCTCCTTTAGGCGGAATCTTGCTTCGTTTCTTGCTAGAGCTTGGTATTTGTAGTTTTCCTTGCGACTTGACATGATACGGACCAATAGCTGCATCCGTTTGTCAACATTTAGTGAGACGTTTGCTTTTTAATACACCACTAATCACTCGATGCGTATAGGCACTGGTAAAAATGAAAATGCAATAGGCAATAGTGCATGACATCGAGATTGTATGAAAAAACATTGTTTCAGAATGTTTTTGTGTTTGTCAGAGGAATAAAACTACAACATGACACTGAGTAGAATTTGGTATAAACAATCTCTTTTATTCATAAAGATAACAACAACATGATTACATGCCCAACTTGAGTTTAGCTTTCATGATATTTTTGACAATATGTTCCGTCAGACTTTTCTGACCTGGCAGTTTATCGATCTTGGCAATCATCTTGCGATCTGCCGTCCATTTGTCCTTCAAGTTTTTGGCTCTAGCATAGTCAATGTCATGGGCTTTAGCAATCTTGTCTAACCTGTTGATGCCTGGGTCACCGCGGGCTAAACGTTTCTCCAAATGAGTCCCAGGTCCCATATACTGATAACCCGGCCAATGAAACTCTATGCCCGTCTTGGTCAATAACTTTTGAACATCAAATAACTTGCCTCCGCGTTGCGAGCATCGTCGTCGCCTCGGTCGGGAACGGGGCGCAGCACGACGTTTACGTCCCATGTTTCACGGGGTTTTCCACGATTTCCAATCCAAGGCTTTCTTGGCCCAACCTGCGGCTTTTTCTTTCGCTTTCTTTTTGGCCGCTTCTTTCGCTTTCTGTCTGATTTTGCGCTTGATGGCTAAGGAGGGGGTGTCCCAAGGTTTCGGAGCCGTGTCCTCTGAAAAGGGCAACTCGTGCGCCAACTCCTCACTGCTCAACGGGGGTGTGAACTTGAGTTTCTTTTTGGCACTGGGCGTGATCTTTGGTTTAGGTGGGATAGGTGGTTTTCTGGGTCCACCAGTCGGGGTACCTTGTTTTATACCCTGGGTGGCCTTGACCAATTGCGTCAACCAAGCTTGCACTGGACCAGCATCAAACTCATCTTCGCCCGTTTCAGTCGCAGGGGTGCCTGTAGCACTTACCCCACTGACAGGGGCACCAAACGGTTGGCGTACTTTTTTGGTCCAATGGCGTAATTGACGACCCACAGCTTTGAGTTGAGGCCGTTTCCACGCATCGGGCACATCACTGGCCAAGAGCACATGTTGTTTGGCCGCTAAATCTGCCGCTTTGGTCAAGCGAGTATCTTCCACCAACTCTTGTTTGTACTTGTCTCGTAATTGTAAAAAAGCCGGAGCATTGTCCACAGAGGTGCTCACCATCTCTTGCTCCATGGTGTAAATGAGGTATAATGTCTAACGCATGGTACGTTTATAGCATCGGTAGAGTTCGGACCAGAGAGTCCCTCCTTTTTGAGACATCATGATAGCGCGTCGACGTTTGACCGAATGAGCCGGTTTGGCCATGTCTCTTAAACTCTGAGCATGGGGTTTCAGCAAAGTGATGGTGTGTCGAGAACGGGGCACGGTTCCGCGGATCGTGTTCATGACCAACTCACTGATGGCATTAATCTGATCCGCATTGGCCATCCGTAACAATTCTTGTCGTTTATGATTGTCCGCTTCTCGCAACACACTCTTCAGAAACGGAGCTTGACGTTCCATGCGCCAATCCATGGTGTGATTGTTGCCTTGGATCATCGACCGAAGGTCTATTTATGGTAAAAAGTGCTCCACACAGTTCCCCATGATAATATTGTTGCATGTGGTCGCGACACTGTTGACACAACCTGTCTTCAAAATTTTTGTCGCACTGTAAAAAATAATCGTTAGAACCTTTTTTTCTTTTTCGGAGCACTGCATCGCTTCTAACCTTTACACGCCCATGTGCGTTTCTTGACCTCGCAAGGCGAGAGAGCCATCGCCAACATGAGTAGCACTCTTCTACGTTGCAATCCATGATGTCAGCATCGTTTTCTGGGGAGCTAACCATTTCGGACTCGAGTTGGTGCAGGCACCATCATTCAATGGAGTCTTTATAAAACCCTTTCATTTCTTTTTATAACGTGCATGGAGTTTAGAAAGCCCATCCTGTGCGTTTTAACGCACGCTCAACGTGCCGTTTATTGGCCGCTAATTGGGCTGGACTGAGTTTTTTTTTCTTGCGCGTAGCCGCGTCGATAGCTTTTTTGGCACCGTAGCTAGCACCACCACTAACAGCTCCTAGCGCTGCCGCTTTGCCGAGAGCGATGGCAGCGGGAATGAGGAACGGGAGAATACCTCCTCGTTGCTTTCGTCGTTGTCGTCTGCGTTTGGGTGGCATGATGTGATGTGACGGGGTAGGGAACACACTCCTTTTTATAGGTTCTCATCTTCGTCTACGATCGAGGGCTTTCTTCACGCCGTACCCTACACCCCCACTAATAGCGCCCGCCGTCGCCGCCTTGGCTGCTAAGATGGCCGCGGGAATGAGAAAGGGTAAAATCCCCCCTCGTTGGTAGTGTCGGCGGCGGCGTGGATAGCTGACTCTTCGCCGTCGTCTTCGTTTGGGTGGCATGATGAGTTGTACAACATCTGATGAACCTTTTTCACGATGTGTCTCGTTTTTATAGTCTCAAGGCTCGGTGCGTTGCTAACTGTTCGTCGAACCTCATTTTAGGTGAAAGGACTATTTTCTTTTTTACGCTTTTCCGAGGTGGTGATGCTGACGGTAAATCCACATCTATCGAAGACAGGGTTGTGGTATTCATGCGTGTTGATAATTCAGTGTGATGTCCTCCTTCTCTTTGCCGACGTTGACGTTCGCGTTCTCGTTGCAGTGCGTTTTCGAATGGTAGGGACATCCGAGGGCAAGGTATGGACTTGCGCTTTACCTTCTCGGGGTGTTAAATGACTCCACAAACGGTAACGATCATCCGAGGCAGGATGAACATCCAACATCAAATAACCAAAAGGGCGCGATGTGACACGATTAAATAGTCGCAAGACTTGACGCCAACGGTCAGGAAAGGCTTGAAGTAAAATGGTCCGTATGCCCGTTTGATCTCGTGGGTTTTTGAAGGTCACAATGTAATGCACATTGCGATTAATTGTCTTGGAGAATTTACCGGGTGGAAATAAATCTTGTGTCAAATACAGCACGGTAATGTTGCGATGATGGGAATCTTTGGTAAACAAGTCCAACACACGTTTGTCTTGTCCCCCTTCTTCCATTAGATCATCCAAGACCAACACACCCCCTCGCGTGGGGCCAAACCATTTTGTCAAATGACTAGGGTCCGGTAACCCGCGATGAAATCGAATGCCATCCTCTTTTTGCATACGCTCGAATCTGGGTTGCCATCGGTCATACGCATACACCATGGTTTTGGGTTTCACTTGAAACACGTTCAGGTACCGCAACCATTGTTCCACCAAGTCGCTCTTGCCACTGCCCGAGGGTCCGGCAATAATCACGCTACTTGGTTGTCGAATCATCCTTCCCACGGACGAGGTAGACGTCTGTAATGACCCGTAGCACCTTTGGCTCCCATTCGTTTATACCGTTTATCACGCCCTAATTTATAACCAATTTTGGCCGCTTTGGTCAACACACCAATAATCCCACGCCCGTTTTGAGGAAATCGCCATCGTTGAGAGATTCTCAAGGGTTTTCTTCTTCTTCTCGACATACCGTCCAATACTCGCGGTATAATCGAGAAGACGCTGACTGAATGAGGTGCTGCATACATTCACTTAAATACGATTCACCCATGGTGTCCATGTACGCTTTAAGAGACATCCATTCTCTATCTTGAGCCAATTGTCGGGCTAAGGTCCAACGATACCCATCCCATGCATCATTGCCTCGGACGGTTTGCACGCGTTCGATGGGATGCAACCACCAATAAAGAGATTCTTTCAAAATGAACGCATCGATAACGCGCTGCACATCGCCGCGTGTAATCATGATGAAAAAAAAATGACACCTCTTGTTGCTGGACTTGCTTTTTATGATGATGATGATAAGACACTACACACATTTTGACAAGTAAAATCACGTTTTTATTACATTTTATTACAAAGCAGAAAGGCCTGGCGGCTCAAATTACTTTGCCCATCTGGTCGGGCATCCACTTCATCTTGTAATTCACGTTTAATCACTCGTTTCAAGTCTTGGGCTACTTTTTGATCATTCAACACTAAATTATCGGGACTCCAACTTCCCAAAAAGTCCTTGTAGGTCTGTCCTTGCGCTCTGGCTTTAAGGAAAAATAATGCATAATGACCACAGGTCTGACTATCCATGGCTTGCAGGGTAATGTCACTGCGAGTTAGGTACTTCCATTGACTCCACCACTTGTGCAACTCTGCATTTTTGTACACGTGCAAGGGTAGACCATAACTGTCAAAGATTTCACACTTGTTTTGTTCTGTCCACATGCCCAACCAATGTTGTCCCGGTTCACCCGCTGGATCCGTGTTGACAATGTAGGCCGCGCGGACGGTTTGGGGAGGTGATGGCGGTAGTTTATCGGCTGGGTACACACCTTGAAAAACGCGTCGTAATTCAGGATCATCTAAGGCCAACGCCCGCAACACAGTATCGCTGAGCGCCACAAACTCCATGGCTGGTTTCTTCTGCGGATGGTTTAGCCGTTGATGTTGTACTTTATACCTCCCAGATGATTAATCTCGTACATGTTTTCATATTCGCTCCACACCAACACAGTGATGTTGTGATTAACAGCGGCCCTGAAATCAATCACCAGTCGTACATTCCCCGATTTACGAGGGTTGCGATACTGAGGGTCGTCGGCTTTGCCGCTTGCCACATTGTTGAACATAAACAATGTGCAGTTGTTGCCCTGTCCCCAATCACTGGGTAACAGCATGGGGATCTTGTCTTCATTGTAGGAACCCATGGCTTGTAGAAAGCGATCGTAGCCCAGTAGATCTTCATAGGCTTCATCGCCTGTTAGTTCTAGGGTTCTGTAAGGATATTCTTCTCCATTCAAACTTTGTCGCACTTGCGTCACCCCAAACTTTTCAAAGGCAAAGGGGTATCTTTGTAGGTCACCATTGAAGGCATTGGAATGCAGCAATCCCACTATCACTCGATCGGGAAATCGACCCACAAACACATTGTCTTGTTCCCACTGGGTAGTTCTTCCATCAAAGGAGAAGGTGCGGATTTCACTTCGAACCACTGGGTAGCGCACAATCTTTTTTTCTCAGCTGTCTTTCTTTTTCCAGTCTGACATAGACACTCGCGTTCAAGGTCACTTTTCGCATCAGTAAGGTGACTTTGATGTCATCATTATGGATGGCAGGAAATTTCTTGGTGGTTAAGGTCCCTTTGTTGGGGGTACCCATCAAGTAGACAGACTTGGGGTTTAGAAACAATTCAAAGTCCAACTGCACACCAGGCACCAAACATTTACCCGTCTTGAGGGGTGGTAAATGAGGACGGATGATAAAGGTGTGCCAATTTTCGCTTAGCAACCGGCTGGTCAAGGCTCGCAACTCTACATTTCCTTTCCAATTAGCAGCGGTAGGAATATCGGAATTAGCACCTGTTGCCCCCATCTCGTCAATCACATTGAGTTGATTCACCCAGCCTTGAGGGGCTAACTTGGTGGCTCCTTCTTCTCTGTTGTAATTCAATAAGGTTTCCAAGTAGGCTCTGTAATGGTAGGTATTGCTCTGTTCAGTCATGAGCACACCATTCATGCTCATGGTAATATCTCGAAAGATGGAGTGAGCAAAATTGTTGACGCAGTAGGTGTTTCTGGTATTGTTGGCATCGGAATCGGCCAAATTGGCTTTCAATCCTGCATACCCACCGGCTGGATCAGTCAGACGTACTTTGACTTGAAAACGGAGTTCGTTGAGATCATAATAATCTTCGGAGGCCGGGATGGAAAACGTGATGGGCTGTATTCCCGTCAAGGCAGGTTGAAACGTCACGTCCCTGGAGGCTTCGTACCGGTAATCCACATTCGGGACATCAAACAAATTGAGCGACATGTTTTTTTTTTTGGTCAGCCCCAAGTGCACAATGAGAGTGAAGACGTTCAACGACGTTTCCTTTTTATAGCGTTCCGAGCCAGCCAATTGGGGTCCATCTGGTAGTCATAGGGGGTCATCCAGGGATAACGCATACGCATTCGCGTGGACTTGCCAAAGATAGTTCCCCCTTTCATACGTTGCTTCAGCCAGCGTTCTATCATCATATCATTCTCTTGGGACATAGATGGGAATCTCAAGGGATTTTGCCTTCGCATGCGGGTGGACTTGCCAAAAATCGTACCTCCTTTCATCTTGCCGCGTTGCTGCAGGTGTTTCTTCATCCAACGCTCTAGTGCTGGGGATGATGAGTACATGGAGGGATAGCGCGCTGTGGTAGATTTACCAAAGATAGTGCCTCCCGTTTGATACGGTGAAATGAACCGGCCTCGGGGCCGCTGAAGTCGAATGCGATTTTGCGTTTTGCGAAATCCTCCAATGCGTACCATCATTCACAATCCAAAAATATCCCGTACGCGTTGAGTCGTTCTTTTATAGGTATTTTGAGCAGTTCGTTTGGCTTGGTTTTTTCCCACGGACCAGGCCAGGGCAGGAGCTTTACGTTTCAAACCGCGTTTAATTTGCTCCCCACGATTCGACAAGGTGTCGGCCAAACTCATTCCTTGTTGGATATCTTGGAGTCCCGCTTGGGCTTGCTGCACGATGAGAGGACCAGCTAGTTTGATTAAGTCTTCGGCCAATCCTTTTCCCTCTTGGGTCGTCACCACGGGCGTATGGTAGCGCGTTAAACTCCCTCCTCGCATCTCTGTTCTGTTTTTGTATGGTCTTCTCTCTGATGTGCGTGGTGGTTTTTATAGCTGTTTAAGACCTATCGTCACAATGGTTTTGCCGGGGGGTAAAATGGCCAGGGGGCCACTGGTATCAGCAATTTCCACTTCGACAATGTCCAATTGGTTGCCTCGCACTTTGATCCATTGGTGATGCAAGGGTTCTGCCGTACTTTCTCCTTCCCCAGTTCTCAACAATTGCACTTCCCGCAACAGGGGATACTTGCCACTCCCCACCACAGTGGATTCCACCACATCCGAATAGACCATCACAGTGCGTTTGCTGGTGCCTACGATCTTTTCAAACGAAGCATCCAGGTTGTTGAACTGCCATTCTACCATCCTAGACAAATTAAGCCGTTTTCCGTTGACCTCGAACATTTGATCCATCTCGTCATCAGTCAAATCTGAGGGTTGCACCGCTGTATAATGCTCTCCATTCCAATTGAACTCCGCGCGAGCGGAGGGGAAATCACTACTGGTTGGCTTGGTTTGGTTCGTGTAGGTCACGGTAGGGCAAGTGAATTGCAGATTGGGCCCAATCACATAACCTGCATCCACACCTACGGGTTGTTCAACGAAGCCAAACCTTTTCGCTATCTCCAGATCCATCGTAAAGGCGCTCGTAACTTTGCTCTTGTTCGCATTCATCAAGTCTTCTTTAGGCACAGCATGCAGCACCAAGGCATCACCTTTCCAGGTCATCCTAGGCATCCAATTCTTTTTCACACTGACTATGGGATATTGACCACTATCAGCGGTCAAGGCAGAACTTTGTCGGTTTATCAATGCCTGCATGACCTTATTGTGCACTTCTTGCATCACGCGTTTCCAAAATTCACTGCCTGTGGTTACAGATTGTTTGGCGCTCATAATCTCTTCCAATTCCACTCCATAATCCTTAGTCTTGAATTCGACCAGTTTATACTCCCCCTGGACCCATTTGCGCGTCAAAAACATGACACTTATTTTAACGACTTTGGTATGAGGATCCGTCGCAATGACGGCATTGCTCTGTCCTTTATCCGGCACGGTCAGGGACATCAACGAGGTGTGCCAACCTTCGCCCGGTAAGTTGAGACGTTCAGGTAAACGGACCTTGAAACTGTTGTTAGTATTTTTGGGAAACTCGTCGGTCGGGTCGCTGATAAGCGTCAAGCGTTTAATCTCACTCATGATGAGGATACTCGTCTAAGAGTGCGTGGTAGTTTTTATAACTGTTTGAGACCTATCGTCACAATGGTTTTACCGGGAGGTAAGATGGTCAGGGGTCCAGCGGTACTGGCAATCTCCACTTCCACTATATCCAATTGTTGGCCTCGTAGTTTGATCCATTGGTGGTGCAGGGGTTCTGCCGTACTTTCTCCATCCCCAGTTCTCAACAATTGCACTTCCCGCAACAGGGGATACTTGCCACTGCCCACCACGGTGGATTCGACGAGATCTGAATAGACCATAACGGTGCGTTTGCGAGTCCCCACGATCTTTTCAAACGAGGCATCCAGGTTGTGCAACTGCCATTCAAACGCTGGGAACAATCTCAACCATTTCACATTGTCTGCTGTCATGATAGAAAAGGCACTGCCGATGAAGTTGACGCCCTCGTACACGTCCCCTTCCCAATTGTAATAGGTTCGATAT